TACATAGAGTTGTTTTATTTCAGTGATATGACTGAAGCGGACATGAGTTTTATTGTCTATAGTGAATTAATGACAGAATTTACAGTTTGTTAAAGTACAAAAGGTTTAAGACACTGGACCAAAAGCAAAACAGCCTCTATACTGCATTCACCAAGCTGTTTATAGCTACAAATAAGAACAAAGTAACTTTTTGCATTTGAAAGATTGCATAGAAAAAAATATAGAAAGAGCTTTTTCTGTAATTATTACACATTTGTGTATTACAGCCTTTTAAATTGATTTACAGAAAGATAATTTAAAATGATTTTGCTCTGGACTTTGGAAATGCTTGAGTAGTTAAAGTACGCCCCCTTGTGGCTCTGTATTATTATAGCACATCACTATGTGGTACCATTCATCTAACTGTGCTTGCACTGTATGCCAACAGCCGGTCCAAACCACAACAAGACTGCGAGCGAATCCTCTATGTGCTCGATTCAAATGATTGTATTTCTGTTCTTGTAAACAGTCTGCTTAAGCCCTTGTTCAAAAGACTTGTTTGTAAATATTGCTTTTCATCCTTTTTTGTAAATAAAGCCAACAAAAATGTTTAATAAAGATGAATACGCATACAATATACCAAACCCCTGGGCAAATTCTTCCTATGTAAATGTTTATGGTTACTGTGCAAGTGTTTTTGCATGTAAATGAGGCATACATTATTTGGGGAAAAAAGGCGCATATTCCAAAATGATTGATAAGAAAATTAAGGATTTCATGATTTTAAGGCAGACAGATAATGTAAGGCTTTGACAAGAGAAATATCCAACTTAAAGCTAACCCAAGGTGCCCTTTTTTTGGCGTGAAAATTGTTTTGGAAACAACCCATCTTTCTGCCTCAATATGCCATCTCTACCCACTGTTCAGTTTCCATTCACATCTCCAGGTTCCACCACTTGAAGGCAAACGGTTCCCTGAGGACGTTGGAGCCGCAGTGCACCTCTCCCAGCAGTTTGTGGTAGGAGGCAAAGTCGTCGATGAACGTGCAGCTAAGGCCCAGGCCCTCCATCAGGCAGCACATCTGAGCCTCCAGGGCACAGCGTCCATTCACCTTGGGGCCGAAGGGCTTTGGGATGCCGAGGTTTTTGCCCAAGACGATCATGTTTACCTGGAAACACGTGTCAGATCATGAGACTCACAGCAGTGCTATCAGCTCCTTGATTTACCTGCATCTTATTTCTACCTGATGAGTGCTTTTAATGTCTCTTAAACTGGAAACAATGATTGGAAGATTAACACACCATGTCAGGGTAAAAAGCCACTGCTCTGTACGTGTTGTCCTCCTCCATCTCTAATTTGAAGAGGATTGGCAGGTCAATGATGTCATCTTCGTCCAGGCCCAGCTCTCTCTTTAGGACATCCCTGTTCCAGTCGATGCAGCTCTGGGCAGGTAGTAAAAAAACATCATCCATTTCACATACTGCGCAACAGGCCAGTTTAAAACTAACTTTTGCTCATTAGCTCATCATTTTATCTCAAGATTATCTTTTACGTGCGGGCTAAAGTATATGGACACTCCTACTCGCTAACAATGTGTGTTACACTGAAGAGCACGATAACTTTATAGGATGCCATCTGTCCAATGAGACAGTTTGTTAAATGTCTGCTGTTCCAATGAAGCGCAAACATGTAAGCAAAAACAGCTTATCGTGAAGCAGTAGGCTACGCAAACAGACTACGTAAAGCACATAGTGTGTATGAATAATTTGGAAATGAGGGAAGACGAACTGGGAGAAAATCCCTGCAGCCTGTGGAAAGTCTTCCTATAGAGCAGAGGCTGTTAAAGCAGTGTATCAAAGGCTGCCCACATATCTTTGGCCATACAGTGCAGATTACAAATTTTGTAGTTTGTGATTTTCACAGATTGAGTCAGTCTTTCATCATCCTTTTCTGGGCTTGAGTCTAACCTCACAAATCCTACTCACCTGCACATAGTTATTTTCAGCTTGGAAACCGTCATGACTGAGTATATCATCCACTGTTATCGGCTCTTCATCTTTCAGACCTTTTTGGAAGAGTTTTGCATGGTGAGCGCTAAGAATTATATGATGACTTTGTAGATTACAGTTGATTCTCCACAGATAATATTGTTAAAGACAGGCCTACCCTCAAACAGTTTGGCCTGTCCGTGTCCATCGTTCTGTAAGCCTCTGAATAGTTTGTAGCCTGCGTCCGGGCTGGCTAGTAGCAGCCGGAAGCCCTGTGTACAGAAGCACAACAGACAAAGATAACACTGGCTGCCTCGTATCCTGAGAGCTTACACAATCCTACAATGTCAGTATCAACCTGTAACCGCTAACAGATTCCTGTTTTTTATTGTATATTTCAGATCAGTAGTTGAGGTGGTTTCTGTTTAAAAGGGAATAATACCTTTCTGTCAGGTGCAGGAACAAAGGTCATGAATTCATCAATGTGGCCGACGAGGAGCCAGTCAGAAAATAAGGCGATGGGCTCCTGAACCTTCTGAGCCCACAAGAAGTCTTGAACTACTTTGGTCATGTTCCGTCCTTTAGTTGCCCTTAAAAAATAGAGAAATGCAAGTATGTTCACAAATCTTCTGCCTACAACAAGGAACTGGATGTATTAATCATACAAAGAGCTGCTCGTATATGAATGATTCATAATCTTTACAAGTCAGGGACTCATCTCTGGGTCTGTTGCAAACTCACGTAGGGAATGCCACTCCGATGAGGATTCTGCCCAGGGGGTAGTTTTTTCCATTCACAGTGACGGGAGGACTAACCTCCAGATTACCGAATGAGTCCAGACTGCTCACATCCTTTCTCTCGGCCACCCTCGTCACATAGCCAAAGTCGGGGCCCTGAGGACATGAAGGTGGTTAAAAATCCCCATCCATTGTTTGAAGACATATGAAAATACTCACCCTTTGAACACTAATTTCTGTTTTTCGGCAAAAAAATCTATTAACTTTTTTAAAACTACATCTATGTCTGTTATTGAATACTAAAATTTTTCCTCTCTACTCTTTGAGGATGATTGGTTGGTGGCCCTGCCATATTTAAGGGAAGCAGGAGCTCTCTCCACTTCCTTTGCTCCTTATTTTTGTGTTTTATCCTTTGAGGGTAGACGTCTGGCAGTCTAGTTTTTGGTTCTTTGTTTTTATTGTTTAGTTACAGTGTTTTGAGAGTTGAGATGGAGAAGCTCTGGATCCTATGGCCCACACTTCCTCCATCCTTTTGTTATTTTTGGCCTTTTTAGCCAGATCTCCAGACTCCATTGTTTTTGTTAATGGCCTTATTTTGTGAATAAAAGCATTTTTCTTTAAAACTATCTGTGTGTGGGTATCCGCTTGATATGCTGCTGTTTACAACTGGCTGAGTCATTATGTTTACTTCATGGCTGTAACATATATGAATATTTGCATATATTATATGCAAATATTCTTCATTTCAAAGGTGTAACTGCTGGACTACTTCACTGAAAAGTCTTTTTGTTCTCAGTCCATGTGCACTGAAGGTTTCCAAACTAATACTTAACTAGTTGTGATGTCAGAAAATCCTGCTCACACATTCAGTCTTAAACACGGATTAATGGCGAGCACAGAGAAACGTTCCACCTTCAGCAGATGAATGTGAAAATATCCCTCTAGTGTCAGACTGCACTTGCATCATTCTGCACAGTGAAGCTCAAACATCGGAGTGAAGTAACAAAAACACACACAACAACACATTTCTGAGTTGAGGGGGACTTCAAGATAAAACAAAAATCATACCACTATGAGAATTTTGTATCTCCAAACGCCTGAAATTTGAGTCTTTCTCTCACCAGTAGCTCATTATATGGAAAGTCCAGGAGTTTTCCATCTCGAGGGGAATCCAGAACAACAGGAAACCGGTGATGAGGTGAGTCGATGTAGCCAAACTCCAGCTCATCCTGAAAAATAGTATTATATTTCTGCTGTCCTTATATTTATTATCATATGATTATAATAATAGCAACTTAACTGATGTTTAAAAAATCCAATTGTCTTTTGTCTGTGTGAATTTAAATCAGAATTTTTCCTGTAATTTGTTTTTCTTTCTCATGATGTGAAAATCTAATGAAAATCATCACAGTGTTGCCAACTTGACTTTTTCTGGCTTGTAATTTTTTTTTACGAGAAGTGTGTTTCTCATAATACTTTCTTCCTGTTTAATTTCACAATGTGGGGATTATGAAACCTATGACACTGTTAATGTAGCCGCGGGATGGATTTTATACCAGCTACCCAACCACCAGCCACTCTTTACTACTATGCCACTGAAGGACTTCCCACAGACAGTATAGATGTGAATGAGAAGCAAAGATCAAATTAGTTCTTCTTACCTGCATCCAGCGATCTCCTCTGTTCACATACTCATGGCAAATCTTGAGCTTGTACCCGCTCTTTGTAACAAGGTTCTTCATTCCTTTAAGGAACTGGTAGTTATCAGATGTGCTGAGAAGGTAACCGCAGGCAGAGAAGACGTTTTTATGAAGCGATATTTTGCAATCTTCGTGTCACTTCGAAACAGCTTTTCTTACTTCTTATTCTACCAAAAACATTGTTGTTCAAATTCTTTTGGATAAAAAACAATGACAAATGTAAAACCAGAATGAGGAAACTTAGGTGCATGAGTGTTGCTGTGAATCGGTATTTTCATGTGTCCGCTAATTTCGGTAGTATGAGTTAAAATTAAGAGGAATGTGTAACACTACATCCTTCTTTAGTATTCATCCATCTGCTCTTACCTGCAGACAAAAACCTCTACAGGATTGAGGGTGTTGGGTGTCATGATCCACGGTGCCACTCTGAACACAACTTTGTCCGTGAAAATGGGCGTCTCAGGGAGGCCCTATTAAAACACGAGAGAGGCTCCTGAGTACTGCCAGCTATACTCCTCTTTTTTTAAATGTAATGTGACCAAATACATTCAACTTCACGGGAAATTTGACTGAAGGAAAACAGAATCTAAAACAAAATTAATCTGAACCTGAATCTTTGTTTTTAAGTAAACAAATTAATTTCTGTTCAATTCACAAAACAAGTTCAATTATGTTGTTAATGAGTGTTAAAGTTAATTCTTGACCTTGGAAAAAGTAGTCTGACCAAAATAAGTGTTTAATTTTATCTCAAGGTCCATCAGCTTTGTTGGGAGCTTTTAACCAGATCATCAAAAGGAAGACCGTGAGAAGTGGTTGAAACTCATCACAAACAGGAAATAAACTGATTAAACAAAATAATGAACTCATGGTAGGAGGTGAAATACATTTTTAAAAATGTAGCAGATCTTACTTCACTGATGGGCTCCAACAGACTGAGGTTGATGCTAATGAGCCCATCAAAGTCTTTGTCAGGAAACCTGAGCCCTTCCACATAAAAGTTCATCTCTGCTGTGCCTCCGATGTAAGGCACTTCCTGGGACAGAACCTCACTGCTCAGAACCAGCGGATAGTCCTTCACAAAGAGGTTATAGAGTTTCCCTTCTAAGGTAAGAACAAGATAAGCATTATTGAAAAAAACAATAATATGGTTAGTAAAAAAAAAAAAAAGTTTCAAGATAACACATAGTGTCTAAAATAGCCAGCTGAATTACATGTAAGTTACATCATCTGTTCTGGGGCTTTCTCACCCCTCATCTTTACTCACGCAGGGCATTAGTCGCCTTATCAGAGGATCTGGACCTGAAGACTCTGACACTCTCTGCGTCGCCCTGAGAGATGTGCATAGTGAGCTTGTAACCCTCTGGGAGCTTAGTGGGGCCTCTGGTCCGCAGCACCATGACAGACATGTCCTTCAGATCTGTACATCCATAGTGAGACATGTTAATGTTTTTCAGATGTGTCGTTCAAACCTAGATTTTGGAATGCAAATGTAAAAGATGCATGCTATAAATGTACAAGTGAATGTGAACATAATGAATAAAATCAGTTTTGACTATCACATTTCAGCTCTACTGGTTTGTCAAAGTAATTTGAGAGGCCTGCTTTATCAACCTGCCCTCTACACTCACAGAGGTCTCAAGATTTACAATTTTATCAAACTGATTGACCATATCACCACTTTAATCTGCTGACTTTGCAAAAGTAAATATGAGTGCCCTTTTAATGCTGACAACAGTTATGAACGTAATCAAACAGAGTGAAGAATGAGAGTGAAAGAGAGAATTCATCTTCATTTTACCTGACACTTTGGAGACAAAGTTCGCCTCACTGTCCGGTTTCTTCCAGTAGGTCCGCTCTGAGTCACAGTTGACCAGTAGGATGGCTCCATGCCCATTAGCGCCCCATTTCCAGGAACCCTAACAAAACAAAACAAACCAGACATGAATAAATTTGATTTACAATTTGCTGGAAAATCTAAAAGGTACGAAAAGTTTTGTGAAATAGCTGTAACTTGTTTACTTTCACATATCAAACTCTGAAACAAATATAGAATATAGGAACAAGAATGTGTTTAAACAAGACATTCACAGAAAGATCTTGTCTCTGACAGAGAAAAGTTAAATGAATTGAAAAGTTTAACAACGTGGTGACGCAGAACTTGAACGGTCTCTGAATACAGCCTGTTCAGGCATATACAGAGATCTCATACACAGTAGACAGCATGACAAGTTTACAAATCTAAATAGGAAGTGGGAACACTTCAAACTGATTAATATGCAGCACTCCTGTTCAGTTTGTTACACTTGGCATGTTATTGTTTATCAGAAAGTGAAAAGAAGAGAAAATATCTCTTTCATTAGGTGTCAGATTTGCCATCTAAACCTGACACATTTGAGCTCACCTTATTAGGGTTGTTTTTCTCCACAACACTATCTCTGTCAGCATCCACATCCAGAGAGATCTCTGTGTGACAGACATTTTGCATTTTGTTTATCACACAGTGACTTTGCATGGCCAAAATATTCCAGATAGTGGTTCATATCATAGACCGTTCCAGGAAATACATGAGTCGTGCTTGAATTTGATGTATATTTAAAACACACCACTAATGCTCTGCTGCTATTATTATGCTACCATGTATGTATGTATTTACGTATTATTATATTATTATTATTATTATACTATGCTATTATGCTGACAAAAGAACAACTCAGAGTTAAAAGACTGAACATATGCATATATAACATATTCTTTAACATACCAACAGCTGTCAGATGCAGGACTGCTCTCCCCAACACATCTTTATTCTTCCCATAGTACTGGACAGACAACTTATAAAACAAAGGCACAGGTCATTTAAATGTAGAAGATAACATTTGTGAAATTTTGCATGAAAAAAAATGACTGAAAAGTATTAGTGCTGTACACTGCAAAAAAAAAAATCTTTGAGCTCTGTATATTTTAGAATATCTCCTCTGGTTATTAGAAAAGTGATAAATCATTAAATCAAAAGATGCACCAAAAAAAAGGTACAGATGCTGCAGGGAGAGTTTGACTTTGATATACTTCTAGTCAAACTCATAAATCATAAAATCATAAGACTGCAGACAGTTCAGTTTAGAAGATTTTTTGTTTGCTGGTTTGGTTTCAGGCTCTAAAACAAAAACGCTTTCAAAAAAAACTGAAACACTGTTGTGTTTCATGGAAATTGCTTAACACTTCCACAGAAAAGGAACTCCTATAACTTCATCTGAATGCTGAAAACTCTAGTCATGTTTTTCGTTTGAATAAAGTTCCTACATGTGCATTTTAGAAATGGCTCATATCCTGGAGTCGTTCGTGCCCCATGACTTACTGCTCTGTGATATCAGTGTCATGCACTCCTGTCATACTTTACCTTGTTATCATTTTCATATTGACTGGCCTGGCTCATGCGGATGAGTAGTACTGAGTTTCCATTGAGCGGGATGGGAGCGAGGTGGGATGTCTCCTGGGGCGGGGGGGTGATGCTGTACTGAACATTGGAAGTGCACTTCACAGAGAAGAACTTGGAGTTGGGAGGGGCACTCCTGAGACCGAGAAAAACAGCACATTTCGCTGCAAGTTAGGGCTTGTTTACACAACACAAACATAGTATGTGTGAGAGCACATATTTGTTTATATACAAGTAAAGAAGAGCGTTGGCATATGCAGGCAAGCCACAAGCTCAAATTTCGTAACAGGTGGCAAACCAAAGTAGCAGCTGTCGCCATTATGAAGTTAGTCAGGCTATATTCTTTATTGCCTGGAAGGCAGCATAGCAAGAAAAGTGATTTAAACACTTGCTGCTGGTTTTATTTTTCTGGTTTATTAAAAATAACCACTTACTCTCGTGGTATGAGTCACAGGTGAGTACATGCCTGTATTCTGCCTAAGGACCAAGATACCTGACCTGTCTCACACTATACCACCACTTGATCTCAGGTTTTCCACGTGTCAGCTATTTCTCAGTAATGTCAACTGAGCTAACAGGATATATATCCACACTATAGACATGCAATGCTTTTTAAAATCCTGACCTAATGAGCAATACTCAAATGCCCGTATGTACATTGAAAGATCAGTTACTGCGCTGTGCACAGAATCATCAAAAGCTACATTTTTGTGCTAATAAGGCTCTAAGTTTGAAGATATCCACTTGATTTTAGTCACTTTTTACTAAGGTTTTACTTAAACTGCTAAAGTCTCAAATGTGCTTCAGCTGAACTTTAAATGCATTTTGCACAAAGCACAAAGAGTGCACAGGAGGAATGATTACAGCCACCAACAACTCTTTCAGTAGTGCGTACTGGTTTGAGATAGACTTGGAAAAACAAGTGAGGGTGAGCTACCTTTAAATTATATCAGACTTTCATATCTGGCTATTCCAAAAATCCCTCACAGTCCCTTGGCATCCAGGCTGTGTGCCAGTCTCCCACTCTGCCCAGTCGGTAATCTAGCCTCATTCTGTTGTGTAGGCAATTGGCAGAAAGTATAGCCTACATTACTTTTGGCAAAACAAAGTCTCTCCTGTTGGACAGCAACAACAGCTGATTCTCTCGACAGTGCCAAACAAAAAGACCATCAGGGCTGCCTTCACCAGGATCCGCATACAAATGACATCCTCCCCACAGCTCTGGTGATGTGGGCTAACAATGGAATTATTATACACTCACAGTTTATTAGGTAAGTACAACTGCTACGAATACAGTCTAATGCAGCAATCCTCCAGTTTTTCAATGTAAAGTTAGCTGTTTTAGAAAGATGTTGAATCAACTTCATGATCATTTTGGAGGATGTGGTTTGTGGTGCTGTTGTAACTGGGACTATAACTGTATCGGCCAAAGTGACCATAAAGTTGAATCAGCACCTCTGTGTTTCAACGAAAACGGAACATGGTCATTAAGGTAGGAAGTAGCGCAGGACTGTGTTTTATCTAGGTCTAGTCTGCCTAATAAACTGGCAACTGAGTGTATGTTTCATGAAATTGGGCACATTTTTTAAGTAAATCAATAGATCAATGTAAACTTTTAGTCCTGGGTGTTAAATATTGAACTATTGATCACTTCATTAAAATAAAGAATGAGACACACTATAATTAAATTAACTTAGAATATAATATTTCCTGAGGAGAACGTGAATAATTTCAGAACAGAAAATCTTCAGAATACAATATAAGCACGACATATCCCCACAACAACAACAACAAAACAACAACAAAGCCTGTGTGTGCAAACGGGAAGAGGTTGGAGCAGACCATACCTGTACAGGTTCACATTGAGCTCCGAGCCGACCACACATACAACGCTTATAGCCTTGTCATAATCTACTCTGAGAGTCCGGGGGTGAATCATGGCTGCAGTCCTCCGGCAGTGTGAAGCAGTCAGACTGGCACTGACAATGAATTGCTCCGTTATCAGAAGGCGAATAGACGCAGTCTTGGCACTGTGGCTGAGAGTAGCAGGCGATTATGAAGGCTGCAGGTACCGACCAGTTTAGCCTCTGTGTTCGCTGATTGGTCAGCCGGCTGCCACCACCCTGACCCCCCCCCCTCCAAGCCTCCGTGTCACCTCTCTCTCTTGACTTACTCTCTCTGTTCACTCACCCCTAAGGCATTGCCTTGCCTGTGTCTTTTGTGTTTATTTAGTGTCAGGGTTCTCATACAGATCCGTGATGGGAGGAAACACATTGTGACAGATTAACTAATAATTTATTACAGACGGAGTAACATTATAGTGTGCTTTGTGCTAGTTGTGGTCTGTCTCATCATTATATTACAGAAGTATTAGTACTTTCGGCGCATGCGCAGGAGTGAGAGAAAACAAGTTTACAAATTACACCCTATGTCTTTCGAGGAGTTTTCTCTAATATCTCCAAGAAAGTAAGTAGAATGAGAGAATATTTCGACAAATAGCTCGACCTGAAAGTGACAAACATCTTAATCATCATCCACAACATACAACATGTGTGTATTCGTGCTTTTTGTGTATAGGTGTGTCTGTTTAAACGACGATCGCGTTTCATTTTACCTGAACAGGTTTGCCTCCATATGGGTGCCAAGAACATGGAGAACACTGTGCGCATTTTGTGTGTCCAGACGACATGTCCGATGATATCCTGAAGTCACTTTTCTCTTCTTGTGTAAGAAAGCAGGTTCGACTGTTTGGGAAAGTTGTTGAAACATGGTTGGTTGTGGTTTTCCTCACACTGATGAAGGACTTAAGGTAGTGGCAGCCTATTAATTCTGAGATGTGATTCCAATTTGTAATTTGAGACAGGAGGGAGAGACTTTGCCTTGAAGCAGCTGGGTGAAAACCTGTGTCAAGTACTCCAGGTGCGACTCCTGATTGGATTATGCAGAAAGGCGTGGGATTTTGTCTGAGGTGCAAACAGTGGTGAAGGAATTCAGGATTCAGGATTCAGATCCTTTACTTAGGTAAAGATAGAATAACACCACAAAATACTTAAAGTGAAGTAACAGTGCAGAAAAACTTCCCCTGTGACTGTTGTGAATTATTAGGCTATATAACATTATATCCTTAGATTATTATTACTCGTGCATTAATATAAAAGCAGGATTTTTTAGTTGTTGAGGCAGAGCTATTTCTAACTGTTTTGTTTTGGACTGCAACTAATAAGTATTTACATTATGGATTCATCTATTGATTCTTTTCAAGATTAATTGATTGATTTAAATTAGTGAGAAATGCATTACAGTTACCCAAAATCCCAAGGTGACACTTTCACAATTGTTTTGTCCAACCAACAGTCCAAACCTCAAAATTAGAACAAAATAAATTAAAATGATTAAAATAATTTAAAAAGCAGCCAATGCATTTGCTGTAATCATTAAAAGTTTTTGCAAGGAAAATTACTTAATTGATTATCAAAATAATTTATACATTGTCTGTAAATTTTTGTTTCATTTGTATTTGTACTGTTGGATAGTTTATATATAACAAAACATCATATTCTATAGGCTATTTGTATGTTTTTATGTATTTATCTTAATTTGTAACTTAAGCTAACTAAATATAAGTTAAAAAGTACAATATTTCACTCTGACATATAGTGGAGTTATAGAAAGTGGAATAAAGGGGCTAAAGTACAAGTACACCAATGTGTACTTAAGTACATTAGGGGTAAATGTACTTAGTTACATTCCACCACTGGGAGCAAACACATTAAACATGCTGATATTATTTACATACATAAATAATACTGCAGCTAGAGACGAATTAAATCCATATACCGGTATAGTACATTTTCTACATCCTCTGCACACAAATTTGCTTATGAAAATATGGTCACACTGCTCCATTTGCTAAACTTTACAAAACTTAATTTCTTAAATAAAGTCCTAAGAGCCTTACGTTTTATTTTTACAGTTCTAATCTGACTTTTCTGTTGTTTTTGTTTATTTGACTTAATTTCATACTTTGTACTTTTAATTGTTGTTCTGAAATGTTCTTAAATGATTTTCCCCCATAAAAATCACTTGTATCACTTTGTTGTGAAAGGTGCTTTATACATAAAATGTACTCTTTTTAGTAGCCTACTTTTTTAAAGCCAATATCATAGCCTTTTGTCACATGTTGCATAACTTTTATTGCCATCCTTAACAATTATTTACTAACGTAGGACTCTGAATTTAAAATGGGTAATTAGATTTTTTTTTAATGCGCTTTTACACGTGAAATAACCATAAGTGACACGACAAAACAAACGACACAATACAATATGAAACTCCTAAAAGGCTCAAAGCGGAAATTACCAGCAATAACCACAAGGATGTGACATAAATGTATACAAGAGCAGTTCTGTAAAACTTTTTTACTGTGTACAGTAGAGGCTACCGCAAAAACAGACTGGGACTGAGAGCCAATCAAATCACTGCGAATGTTTGACAGGCACACGCACGGACCAATAGAATAGCAGGATGTATGCTGGAGAGGGGCGGGATGTAGGATATCCTATGTCATCAACTCAAGGGGCTTTGTTGTTCTTTCGGGGATTGAAAGACGGAGAAAATCACCGTTAAGACACTGTAAACAGTCGGTCTGAGCAGGGACACACATTTCACTTGGTTCAATATAACCAAAGGCCGGTTAAACCGATGTCGTCTGGAGAAAAGGGGTGTATTTGTGGGACCAAATCCTGTCAGCAGTGAGCTAGCGGTAGGGAAGGAATTCCAGGCACTGGGAAGAAGGGGAGAAATCTCTGCTGGGATGCATCACGCAAGTTGGCAAAAAACTGTATTTTACAGTTCCGCCTGGGCCCATGGCACTGTAAACCCGAAGCGTGTGCACGTTTGACTGCTGTACAATCGCAGGAAAGAACAATTTGATGGTGGTTTTGTAACTGTTAACGTGCCAGTTGAGCGAGTTAGCCACGTAGCTACGTAGCCTTCAGGAGGAGGTCGTTTAAAATGGCGGAAGGTTGGCCCATTCCCTCGGCCCTTGTCTTCATGCTGTTGAGTTTGAGTGCCTGGGCTCTCGGTGCTTGTCCGGCTCCTTGCTCGTGTCCAGAGGGACAAGATGAGGTCCATATTCTGGACTGCAACAGGAAAAGGCTGTCGATGGCTCCCCAGGACCCACCAGAGGGGATAACCCAAGTGTAAGTACACAACCGGATAGACTCAGTGTGTTTAACTTGGTCCTGTTCTGGTGCCCAACGAGGTGCACCAAAACATGCCAAGAAACCCCATTTAGATGTTTTATAGCCACTTGATAAGACTGTGTTTGTTTTCGGACATGTGATATATAATATTGCTGTACTTTGGTAGCTAATTATTTGAACTTTTGCCACAACCTGAGAGACAACCAGTGAAACAACACCAAATTAAATACTTGTTTTTTCATGTTTAAATTGACTGTTGTTGTTATTTATTTGTGGTTGGTTTGCTTGTTAAGGTTATATTTCATTCACACCTTTTTATTATTATTATTATTATTATTATTATTATTGTTTTTTTTATAATGCTTAATATCTGTTTGCTTTGGCAATAAAGCTCGTACATTAAATTCAAAATTGAATTGACATTATGCAAATTTTCCTTATTTTCATTACGAAGACAACAGTGGCAGAGTTAAAACGATTCATCATCACACCCAAACTCATTTATCCTGTCACTGTAAAACATGATTTACACTCAGTTGCCAGTTTCAGTAAAAACAATTCAGTCTAATGCAATAGCCGTACAAAATGACATTAAGTTATTCATGACTTCTTTCGACAAAATATTGAAATGATAATTTTCATGTATCACGCCGTGGTGGACTTAAAGTCAGTTGCTTAGAGTTTCTATTACATTTGGGAAGGATTAGTATAATTCATGACCTGACTGACTCAAAGGAGGTTAATCTTAATCATTTATTTAGCCCATTTCAGTTATTCCTGCAGATTTTATTTAGCAGTCTTTTTAATTATGATGCTAATGTTATGTTGAATTTCATTACAGCACCATGAATCACAACGAGCTGACTGTTCTTCCTTTTCTTGGAGATGTTTCCTCAAATATCACCTCACTGTCATTGTAAGTATACAATTCCCTTCAGGTTTTCTTGCCTCTCCCATCACTACTCAAAACAAATTGCTTTAAAGTATACCATATATTTTGTTATGTAGAGGTATGTCTCCTTTTTATGTTAAAGACAAACATTTTCTGTCTGTACTGCTACCTGCTCTGATTACCTTAAATTCAGATTTTCAGTTTTTGAATCAGAGTGCGTGTCTTTTGGGGTGATGTATTTTCTTTCCATAATTCTATTTCCCAAAGAATGAAATGACTTGTTAATAAATTTCTCAACAACAACAACCAAAGATCTAGTTTTCTGTAAGAGATCGTGTTGGAAGAATTGAACATTTTCAAGGTTTTGATGCCTTATTATGTCTTGTTTTACTAAACATTTTTCTTTTTTTCTTCTCTACATATTAACACACGTATGTGTACTTCACCATGTTGAAATGATTTTGCCATAGACATGGTTTCTCTTCATAACTAGTACTATTATCACTTTGAAAACTAATACATGATTATTTGTATGCGATTCAGAGTACACAATCGGATCTCCGAGCTGATGATGCACCAGCTGCAGCCCTACGTTTCCTTGGAGACACTGGACCTGACATCCAACTCTATCTCTGAGCTCAAAGTTGGCTCCTTCCCTTCCATGCAGCTGAAATATCTGTAAGCAGACACTGTTTATTTAAAACATCTTCATTTAACCATTTTCTGCAAGAACAGCCTGACAGTGCAGGTTGAATGTAAAATCAAACTGAAAGCACTAAGGGTTCATACATCCAAGGCTGTTTAGGGTGAGATCTAATGTTTTTCTGTAATCTAATGATTTGTAAACTGGTTTATTGTTAATGACAAGCATGTTTGTATTGTAACTAGTGGTGTAAGAAGTAAATTGACAGCATTTTTGGCCGTTTAAAGTATTACAGAGCATATATTCAAGCAGAGCACCAAATACTTTGTTTTGATCAGTTTGTGGTAAGAAAAAACATCTTAGACCAGCTGGCTTTGTGATGCCTCCTTCTGTGGATATTCACATACAGAATAGGTGTAACTGCAGAGCAGACAGTTTCTCCTTGCTGATTTTGGCTCTGATGTTTATGCTTTTTTATCTCATAGGAATTTGAGTAATAACAAGATCAGCGTCCTCGAGCCTGGCTGCTTTGAAAACATCTCCAGCTCCCTGCTGGTGCTGAAACTGAACAGGAACAGATTAGTTGTGCTGCCATCCAAAGTCTTCAAACTTCCACAGCTTCAGTTCCTGTAAGTATTCTATGCAAGTAAACAACTCAAATAATTAGCCAAAAAAATGAATGGTCTAAATCTGTTGATTTATATTCTGTTGTACAAACTCTGACTTTGTTGAGTGAATTTAACGTGAATCCAGTTTTGTTTTTACGAATGCACTTTATTGATAAAAACTGATGCTTGCTCTCATTTTAGCGAAATGAAGCGTAACAAGATCAAGATAGTGGACAGTCTGACATTCAAAGGAATGGACTCACTGCGGTCACTGAAGATGCAGAGGAACGGGATCACTAAGCTCATGGATGGAGCCTTTTTTGGGCTTAACAACATTGAAGAACTGTGAGGACACACTCTCCTTCTAACACTTATTCAAGGATTCAACAGTATACACAGTTTAAAACCTTTTAAAGTAGCTGTAGAGAAGTTTGTAAATGCACCAAGTTAGGAGAGGAAAGCCCTAAAGCAGGAAAAAAAAACCTCTCAATGTCATGTAAACAAATCAATTTGTTTTTGTTAATACCATTTTGTTTTTCCCATCTGTGTCTCAGAGAGCTGGAGCACAATAACCTAACCGAGGTCAACAAAGGTTGGCTGTATGGCCTGCGCATGCTGCGAGTCCTGCGGGTCAGCCAGAATACTGTCGGCATCATCCGACCAGACGCCTGGGAGTTTTGCCAAAGGCTAGAGGAACTGTGAGTGTGTTTGCTTCATAGCTAAAATCCTAAGAGTCCT